TCATGACAGGTATAGGGACATGACATTTTGAAGTGGCAATTAATTGACTGACACAACCTACCCCGCAATTAAAAAACAAAGAAGCAAGCAGATAATATGGGAAAAAAACTGAAAAGGCATGACTGCGTAAATATTCAGACCTGTGGAAAATCAAAATTAATTGAGGTACACAAAATTAACTTAAGGAGCCACACAATTAGTTGAGTGCCCTCTTGTCTGCGTGTAGTAATAGCGGTCCACATGATTTCAGAAAAAATACACCCCAGTAAGAACACCATGTAACCATATAGGCTAAGGGGCTCAGCAGAGGAGTATAAAAACATTTCAAAGACCCTTAACATGTGTTTATCGGAGCATGGGGAAATCGATCATGAAGAAGTGGGAGGCACCCATACTGTGCTGACCAGGCTGCGCCTTCAAACTGAGCTGCTGGGCCAGGAGGACAGTGACTGGTGAGGGACGCCAGCGTGAAGCCAGCAGCGGCTTTGAAAGAGCCACACAGCTCAGTGGCCGGGAGGGGAGAACATGTTCATGGGTCAGGACCATCCTGGTCACTGCACAAAGGGGGGCTTGTATGACACTGAAACAATCTCAGAGCCCATGTGAGATTTGCAACAATGCACCTACTGTAAGTGATACAGCAAACCCAGCAAAAGGTTTTGTGCAAGGAGAAGACAAAATTAGACGTGTCCAAGCATGGTGGAAGAAGCATTTTGTTCCAGTTATTCTTTGCATCAGCAGGGACTGGGAAGCTTGTCAAGGCTGAGGGGAACACAGATGGACCAAAGTACTGGCAAAGTGTAGGAGAAAACCTGCTTCAAACCTAAAACTGGGACAAAACCTCACCCTCCAGCAGGACGATGAGCTGAAGCACAAGGCCAGAGCTGCTCTGGAGTAGCTTATGAATAATAGTGATTGAGTATCCAGTCAAGTCCTGACTTGAATCTTATTGAGAATCTGTGGAAAGACTAAAAAATGTTGTCCATGAGTAATCCCCAAGCAAACTGAGTGAGTCTGAACAAACATGCAAAGACAAATGGGCAAAAGACTCACCCAAAAAGAACTGCAGCTGTAAAAGCAGAAAAATGTGATATCACCAAATACCTCACATATACGTATTGACATATTTCCATTTTTTCTTTTTAGTTCGGTTGACATTTACTACAACTTACCCTTGGAGGTCTTCAGTTTGCATATTCAGGTTTTGAATAAAACATTATGTTTAGAATGCATCATTTTGTAATTTTACAATATGGATGCGATAAGGCAGTGGTTAGCATTATTGCCTTGCAGCCCCGAGTTCAATTCCAGACCCGGGGTGCTGTCTGGGTGGAGTTTGTATGTTCTCCCCATATTTGCAAGGGTTTCCTCCCACAGTCCAAAGACATGCTGGTAGGTGTATCGGTTTCTGGGAAATCAGGCCCTGGTGCGAGTGTGAGCGTCTGTGTGCCCCGTGATGGACTGGAGTCCCTTGCTTACTGGGATAAACTCCAGCTCTCCCCTGAGCCTGAACTGGAAGAAGAGGTTAGAAAACAGATGGAAGGGACACCATAGGAAGGGTGCACTGTAGTTTAAACCTGCTGCACAGCATATAACAGCTGACACTGTTGAATTGTCGTTGAATTAGAAGTTGTTAAATACAGTACACGCACCCTATTGTAAGGTCCGGGCCTGTCAAGTAGACAGGAACTCGTGCACCTTCCCCAGCCTCGCGGGGCAGTCTGCCCACAGCGCAGCACAGGGCAGGAGGTATCCGCGCTCGTCTCCAGTGCCTTCACTGCCAGTGACCCACATTCCCAGCTGGACACAGCCTCCGGCACAGCAGCGCGATCAATTCGCCCAGACTGGCCTCGCTGGGCTGGGTCCCAGGATAGGACAGACTATCCCAAACACACGGACACGGACAAAGACCCCGCCCCGCAGACACGGCGCGCTCAGAACGCGTGTGGGGGTGGGTTCCTAATATTTTGGAACGTGTACACCATAAAAAGAGCGGACAACAACCACACACTCTTGCAGGAAAAAGGAAAAGAAAGGCTTAACATCACTGCTGCTCCTCTTGTTACAAGATGCATCTCGTTGTACAAGGGAACGATGAAGCCTTTTCAGCTCTAAAACGGCCTCCCCTGCAGTCCCCACCCTGGCACAGCTCTCCGTGCAGACGGAGGAACAATTCAAGGTGTCCCCCCATCAACCCCAGACTGAAGATTTCTTTAATGGGGTTGCAGTGCCCCCGAGGATGACAGTGGTCTCCCCAGACCCCCATGCGGGATAAAGGCAACAGCCTCCCTCTCAGGCCCAACTACAATAACTGCCTTTAACACAAACACGAGGACAACACGAGCGCACGTTTTAAACCCATCCCGTTGAAGAGCTTGTCAAAACCCTCAAGGGCCCTGACAACGAAACACCAACCAGAAGACACGAGTGGACACTCCAGGGAAGTGCATTAAAAAAAAGAGAGCAGATTGAATCTGAAAGCAGATTCTTTACTCAGAGTGGTGGGAGTGTGGAACAAGCTGCCCCTACCCTGGTTTCTTTCAAGATTACCAAATTACCAAACTAATTACTAATTACCAAAACGGGCCAGATGGACCGAACGGCCTCTTCTTGCTGGTGACCGTGCGCCAGGCGTCGAAGAGCAGGGGAGATGAAGATGGGACAAGCCAGACTTGCGGTTCGGACCTGGTGGGTCCCCACAGTCCCCCTTGTAGCTCCCCTGACCGATGAACTCCGCTCTCTCCAGCTCTGCAGAGGCCCTGCACTGTCAGCCTCCTGCCAGGCTAAGAAACTCGAGAGCATGCTGCCAAGATGCTGCCTAATCCCACGCACTCAGCCAAGCGCGCTTATCCGCAATTAGAGCAGACCGATAGCGTGCTGTAATCAATCTGCAGCAGATTAGGTCCGCAAAGGGGGCGCCCCCCCTTTCTCGTAACAGCACAGCTGGGGCACAGCCCGCAGCGCAACTGCAGCTCAAGGGCTCCCAAGACTCCTGCCTCCTAAAACCTTACTGAGGTCCACCGGAGTGCAAGTGCAGCACAGCCCGGTGAAATCATGGGAAAAGCTACAGCACACTGTAGTCAAACCCAGCAGGAGCATGGGGGAAGCACAGCAGGGAGCAGCTAAATTCAGGGAAATTATGGGAAAAACTGCAACACACTGGAGTAAAACCCAGTAAGATAAAGGAGGAAGCATAATCAAGTGAAGAAAAGCTCAGTGAAATCGTGGGGAAAACTTCAGCACACTGTAGTACACCCCAGTATGATTAAGGCAAGCACTGGGGTGGAGCGGTGGCTCTGTGGCTAAGGATCTGCGCCTGTGGCTGGAAGGTTGCCGGTTCAAATCCTGTGGCCGGCAGAGGAATCCTACTTCGCTGGGCCCCTGAGCAAGGCCCATAACCCCAACTGCTCCAGGAGAACCGTATAAATGGCTGACCCTGCACTCTGACCCCAAGCTTCTCTCCCTGTCTGTGTGTCGCATGGAGAGCAAGCTGGGGTATGCGACACAATGCAAGAAATTGTATATGGCCAATAAAGTGATCTTATCTTAAAAGTGCCACAAAGCCCTGTGAAATCATGGTGAAAGCTGTAAACCACAGTAAACAGCAGAATGGCTAAACCTCCAAAATCCCAGGTGATTCATTCCAGCTCTGGAGCCTCTTAACTACACTGCAGCACCAGGACTGCAAATCAAGGTCAACAAACTCAGCGCAGACAGAAACGACTGAAGCTGGACAACGAGGAGAGCTCCTGTAGTTCAAAACTCTCATTTGATTTTTTCCCCCAGTCACTGTGTCATATCATAATCTGAAACTGTTCCGATTTCCCACAAATCCCAGATTAAACCGTGTTGTTGGCACATCCAGTCCAGCGCATCCCCAGAGGAGGAGAAGGCAGCACTCCATGGGAAATCCCAACTGACCGCAGGAGCCAGAGGGGGCAGGGACTGGGAACAGATTCTCCATCCGGTTCGTGCAGGATGAGGTTTACCCGCGGCATCCCATGGAGACGAGAGCATTTCTACATGGATTCTACTCGGCCACAAACCACGTGAGAGCACATGCAAAAAGGTATGCAAGGACGTTGCGCCTGAATTCTTCTGAAAAGCTTTGGAATGAATGTAGATCAATGAAATGCGTCCTTGAAGCCTCCAGTCCATTACAACAGCTGCCACACAGTTCCTGCAGCAGTGTCTCCTCCTGTACTGCAGCACCTGGCCAGTCTGAACTAGGAGTTAGCTTAGGGGCTTAGGGCTGGAAATAAGAGTCTGGGACTGGAAAGGACACAGCACTATTGTGAAGCTTTCGGACAGAGTTAGGGATCAGGGAACATTGTGGATAGGGAGGTAGCCAGAGGAATGAGATCAGTGTGGAGCTATGGCGGCCTCTACTGTGATAAAAGGCACTATACAGAAGCCGGAGCTGCCTCTACACAAAGCCCTCTTGACAACTAATTCTCCCTCTGCCACCCAACCCTCTCTCCTCCTCACAACAAAAGAGCACAAACCAATGCGACAGAAACTCCCAAATTGCAGAGTAATTAATTCCCCACACCATTTCTTCCTACCAGCAATTACTTACTCCCTACTATTTAGTCTCAATATCCTGGAAAACTAATTAGGGCAAACAAAGCAGAAAGCGACAATAGTCAGCTTGATATCAGGACATCAGGTTTAGGGGCTCTGATGTTTACCCACGGGAATCCTTTTCCCGCAGGGAACAAGGTTCACCATCACACACGCTCTGTGGCGTCTCACAGGAGAGCTCTCAGTGATGTCCCTGCGAGCCTGTGGGCACCACTGCCCAGAAAGCACAGATCTAGGACAGACCCAACACCGATATCCCCTCACCCACCACATACCACCACCACTTAGCACCCTTTCCTGCTGTACCAGCTCACAGCTGCGCACATCTGCACACGGATTCATTCCCCAGTCGCAGTCCACTAAGGACAGCCCCAACCTGGACAGGTGCTGTCTGGACTGTACAGGCCAGCCTATTTCCAGAGGAATACCATCTCACAGTGGCAGCACTGAAGAGGGGGCAGAGGAGCAGCCTGGAGATGGGAGGGAGAGGGAGAGGAGCAGCCTAGAGCTGGGAGGGAGAGGGAAAAGGAGAAGAGCAGTCTGGAGCTGGGAGGGAGAGGAGCAGCACAGAAGCTGGGAGGGAGAGGGAGAGGAGCAGCCTGGAGCTGGGAGGGAGAGGGAAAAGGAGAGGAGCAGCCTGGAGCTGGGAGGGAGAGGAGCAGCCTGGAGCTGGGAGGGAGAGGAGCAGCCTGGAGCTGGTGAGACAGACTGCCACAGCCAGGCAGTTTTTCAGAGCCTGGTCTGTGCCAGCCCCAAAATAAAACACCACTTGTTGTGCCAGTTGGCAGCCTAGGTACTCGCTAGAAAAGATTTCCAGCCCTTTATTTTTAGCCCGAAGTGAGAAGTCCATTAGGAGAGCTCTGGGACCGTGGGGGTGGACTCAACAAAGGAGGGGCAGTGGAGCGTGGGAAATTCGTACATGACGCAGGGCCTCGTGCAGAGCGATGCTGTGTTAATGCCCAACAGCCAGGGGCTCACCTCTCTGAGCTACCTGCCTTTCTTTCTGAGCTGCAGTGGTTCATCACCCGCACCGCAGCCTGCAGCCATTGGGTTCTCAAAGAGCTTCTCGCACCCCTGACCCCGAATTGCTGAGGTAGGTCAGTCCTTTAAACCTCAGACAGATCATAACTGCAGCACGAAACAGAGAATAATTTATTTTGTATACTGCGGTCATATTCAGAACACATGTAAAATGACACAATGTGATGGAGTCGGATTCGACGGGGTGCTGCCTGAGCACCGGCAGAGCGCCTCTTATTCCTGCGCGGCGTGCTGGTGTGTAGTCTTCGGGGAAGGTGACTCTTCTCCGGTTGTTGAGAGAATCGTTTCTTAATGAGAAGAATTAATCCTCTTGTAGCTGAGAGCTATCAGTTGTGTAGCTGGCTTGGGAACACCTTCGGTTCTCGGCTTGAACGCCGTCTGCTGGCGCGCGGGGATCTTTAAAGCGCAGCCCTGATTAGCCTCCGGTGTGGAAGCTGCCCATCCCCACGCGCTGCGGTGAGGGGAGGGGAGTGCGAGGTGTGTGCGATGATTTACTATCGTATAAAATTGGGCATGGCTCAAGCCCCAGGAAGGGCTCTTGCGCCCCCAGTGTGTGTGTGTGTGGGGGGGGGGGGAAGGAGAGCAGCAGCCTGGAGCTGGGAGGGAGAGGGAGAGGAGAGGAGCAGCCTGGGGTCAGGGCTCTCTCCTCCCCACTGAGAGAGCGGCCATGCTGGGACAGTGCCCGGCTCCCTCTCTCCGGGCTGGTAATGGGAAACTGCGGCACAAAACGAGCAGCCCTGGAACAAAACTGGCAGTAAATTATTCACGGGGCTTTAAACTCACACCGCATTCCTGCTCGCAGCTGACAGAGAGAGGGAGCCGGCCAGCGCCTGCAGAGAGGCAGAGATATCCTGGGATCTCGGAGAGAGGGCAGGAAGAACAGCGAAGAGAAGGTCCGATACCAAGGAGGGAGTGAAGTCTCCCTCCTTATGGACTTGGGAATCCAATTTCCCTCCTTCTTTCCGACCCGGATCCACTGTTCACTTCATGACACCGGCCTCTGTGATTCTTCCTTCGGGGAGAGCAGTAACCTGTCCCACTGCCCCCGCCCCAGAGACGAAAGACAGCTCTTAGTTTAGTAGTGGGCTGGCCTTGGCCGTCACTGTTCCCCCTTTCTCCCGCAGGGCACAGGGACCAAACCTACACGGGTTGGGGCTGGGTTCAGTCCGCCAAGACCATGTGTCCGGCCAGCAGTGCTAATGTATCGGTCTCACCCGCCCCTCCGCCTCTATCCAATCGCAGAGCCCCTCGCCGATGATGTCACAGACCCAGTCTGAGAGGGAAGTGAGTCCGCAAGGCCTGTGTGCACACTCCTCCCAGCTCCTCCCACACCCTTCGGAGCGCCGTCAGCTGCTGAGCCACCGCCGGTCTACCTAACCGCCTAACTGGGCAATTATATCAGCAGGAGATTTTTTAACCAAGTAATTAATGGGTGGCACAGTGGTCAGCATTGCTACCTCGCAGTGTTGGGGTCCTGGGATCAATTCCTGGGGCGCTATCTGCGTGGAGCTTGCATGTTCTTCCAATGGCACAGCAGTTTAGTTGAAGGCAATGCAAATGTCTTGTGACTGCTCGCCTTATTCAGTCTTTTCTACCGCTTCAAGCCTATCAGAAGGGGGGGGGGGGGGGGGGGGGAACAAGTTCCTCTTTTTCTAACACCTGTAGCACAAGCCCTGTGTTTCGCTGACATGATGTGAAAAATAGTTTTAGTTCTACGCTAAAAACCACTAAGCAAGCCTGATCTCCAGGCAAGGAGCTACAAAGGGAAGTGGCTTCGTTGTAGCCAAGGTACAGAAACAGAGCACTCATACAGGGAGCTGTGGGCTTTTGCTCATGCATTGAATGAGGTGTCCAGACAATGTTCTTTTCAATAGAAGAGTGATTTATGCAGTACCTAAAAATCATAACTAACGTATTTCTTAAATAATGTAATAATGCTAAAAAACATGCCATAATCAGAAGGCAAGGAGTAATATTTACTCAGTCGACATCTAATCACGATGCAGTAACTGTCAATTGCATTTGAAAGGAATGGACATCATCTTAAAATACCAGAACAAAGCAGTACAGCACTAGGTGATGGCTGTGCCAAGTGTATCAGTACTTCATAGTATGTGTGGTGCACTGGAAGGACAGTTAAGTCAATCTGAGTTGGTGAAGAACCTGGCTCAAGGGTGGCTGGGGGGGCAGCTGTGCCCCCCCCTCCACCCAGGACTGAAAACCTCAACCGTCCAGCCGGGCGTCCAGAACGGCGCCCACAGCTCCCGAGACGATGTCACCACGGAGACAAAAGCTCTGTGAACAGGGACGGGTTTAGCCTCGCCATCAGCAGCGCTGTCATATCAGCCTCAACCTTGATTCTGCACATCTTTAAAACAAAGGGCAACCCGGGGTCACTTCACGAGAGGCCGAGAAGAACGTTTCGACTTGACCCGTTCCGATTTGAACTGCATTCTGCCTACGGGACACAGGTACCCACTAGAGTGACCTCCTGCTCACATCCGATACCGCCTGAACCCCGCCTCACCTTCACAGCCATCAACACCCCTAGAACCGGCACAGAAGCACGTCGTCGCGCAGCAGGAGCCACCGCCACAGTGAAGAGGGGTTTCAGTGCTGTCTGAAGCCCACTGCAGGCACGAAACGAGGGCTAGAGGGCACCATGATCAGGGGCCACTTCCATGGGCGCGGCGCCCAAACACATCGCTACCCAACCGCGTAGGCGTGTGATCCACTCCAGGTTCTCCGAGCTGCAGGGCCCCTGCGTACAGGCTGACACCAGCTGCACAAAGCAGGAAGGAGAGGGGCGAAATCTGACAAGCGGCCCCATCCCTGACTCATCAGTGCAATCAGTACAAGAGCCTGCAGCTGGGGCTCACAAGCGCTGTGATCAGTTCACACACACTTCCATGTGCCGTACACCCCCCCCCCCCACGTCAACAGAGCCAACGGGACCCGGGTGCGACGTCTCTTCTGAAGGCCGGAGCGCCAGGAGGCTCGGCACCTGGGGGCTGAGGGGCCGTGGCAGAGCAAACCCCGGAACGGATCTCAAGGATCTACCTGCCTGGGATCCCAAGGCATCAGCCCCACCTGCTCCGTCAGCAGAAACCGAGCGGAGGGCTGGGAATGCGAGACCGGCGGCCAAGAGACACAGGCGAAACTCAACACCAGTGGGGGGGGGCGCTCAGTGAGCCAGCCCTGTAATCTTCAGGAGGATTTGGGGTTTCGGGTTTAACCGGCACGGTCTCCCATCCCCCGCCCGTGACAGCCCAGGTATCTCCTCGGGGGCAGGAAACGCCCCCCCCCCCAGATTCTCCGCCCGACCCGACGCAGGCCAGCCGGATCCCCACGTCCTGCAGGATACGGGATCCTCCCTCCCATTCCCCACAACACCCCAGCCTGGGAAACAGGACCTGCTCCACACACAGGGATTCACAGGGAGCTTGTTTTCCGTTTTGCTCAAACTCTCAAAGGTGGGCAGCATCTGAACTTATTCTCAGGATTTTTCTCTTTCGTACTGATTCCTCTAGCTCGGTGACATCTCTACATTTCTATCCACATGCAGGCAGCTGTGCAGTCAGAAAGCACCTCAGAGAGCAGAGGTTTTGTGAAGGCTGTCACTCCCACCCGATCCCCACCTCCTCCCCCTCCCCCCTCGCAGTAAATCTCTACAGCGGCCCTCCTACCAGAACGCTGGCAGTCATGTCAACACAGCACAGGAATGGAAAAACCAACAGCCACACACACTCCGAGCACAGAACAGGGGCTGCTGCTCCACCCAACCTGTCAGCAGGTTACTCTGCCTGCTGCATGACTCAGGCAGGCTGGCTTGTCTCGCACAGGGCAGCGTGACTCACCTGAGCAGGCGCAGCTCAGAGCACGCAGCTCCAAGACAGTAAACAACATCCTGGCACAGAGCACTGCAGCAAGCCGGGTGCGAATTACAGTACACTGCAGCTGGCTAAAGAATAATGCACCACATCATAGCACAGAGCACTGAAGAGTTAATGGGGCTAAAATTTCAAATGTACAGTACACGCTACAGTACAGACCAGCTCAGCAATTCTGGGCAACAGTTGCAATGTAGACTGAACTACAGCACATGAGTGTGTGATAGTACACACCATCACAGCCTAGTACAGCAGTGGTAAAGTTCACTGCCATTTATACTCAATTACAGGGAAACAGAGTACTGTGAGAGCGGAGAGCACTGCAGTAAAGCACAGTAGTCAGAGCCAGTACACTGCGATTAATATTTCGCTACAGGAGGACGCTATTGTAAAAGTGAAACACTGCAACAAAGTATAGCAGTATGAGACAGCACAGTGACTTACACTAAACTGCAGGAGAGTACCGTATAGTGTGATAGTGCAGTATGTCACAGCGTAGTACATTAGTGATACAGTTCACTGAAATTCATACTCAATTACAGGAAAGCAGAGTACTGTGAGAGTGGAGAGCACTGTGGTCAAGCAACAGCACACTGACTTATAGCACACCGCAGGAGAGTACAGTATTGTGAGGGAGTACAGAACATCACAGCCCAGTACAGCAGTGTCAGACAGTACGCTGCACTCTCACGCACAGTCGCCCCGCTGGGACAAAGGCTTCTTTGTTCCAGGAATTTTGCGGATGTTCCTGCTTCTCCACTCTCTCTGTCACACACACTCATCAATAACAGTCCAACTCAACAGGAGCACCTGGGTTAAGAGGAGAGATTCCACTTGAAGGAACTTCATTCACAGTACAAGGGCCCAATAGACAAAGACCTGACTCCACACGCAGGGAGCAGCTTGTCTAGTTTTTTTAGATGTTGAAACAGTGGAAAGCTTTTATTCCGTCAGTAACTGCAGGGAGTTCCTAACAGCGATGACAGCTCGGTACAAGAAATCTGGCCAGGTAACACTGCAGTTTCCACGGGAGTTTTACTGCACTCCTACTGCACATCTGCACTGCTGCAGGGCCCAGCATTCCCATCACGCTTTAGGGCGTGCGGCCGGTTATGTAACGATCACAACCACGCGGATAAATCTGACTCTTTTCGCCAGCA